TGACAAGTAGTTGAGCAGCCCCCGAAGAACAATGAAGTAAAAAATGTTACTGTAACATTAACAGACAGCTAGAGATGACAGACGAAGTGTCGAATGCTGCTATTCTGGTGGAAATTGTGAAAAAAAAAGCTGCAGATGGGTACGGCTAAGGCGCCCAGATAAAACAAAGTTGCTTAAATAGGAACCTTAGGCGACACATGTAACTGGTAGGGATGATAACTGATACACATACACAAATGAAGAATGAGCGGTTATGAAATTAATTAACGTGGAAGTGCACGCTCAATTGAGGGGACGCAAGAAGCGTCAACACAAGAACGCTGGAAGGGGCGTTCGTTCTGCAAAGGCCAAAAATAGGGGGCTGATGCATCAATAGATGCACTGAGCTACGTACAACGGCACTATTTCAACATCCTATGTAAATCAGGACACTGGAATGTTAAAAGGAACAAGGAGGCACAATGTTGACTACAAATATTTATTCTTGTTACTTCGTTACAATCTCCGGCAACATTTTCATAGCAGGCACCTATGAATAAACAAGCATGTCCTGGGCTGTTGCCAAGACACGCAAACCACACCAAGACACTTCATTTGTCAGTAAACAATAAAACAATGAAGAAAATTGCAGCATGTGACATTCAATGCAGAACATTGCTTGATCATTGCCTGAACAACAGGTACCAGAGGAAAACTCACCGTTACATTTTTTTCAACATGAACATGTGTGCTTTGAAACATACAATGAATGGCCTAGCAACACACTGTACTGACAATTTACACAGACACGAATGCCTTAATGGCATGAACAAAGGTGAACATGCAAACAGATTTCTACTGCTGCTTGTTGTCATATACATGAGGTGTATTACATCAAGATTCACTGAGTAACTTTCGGATCAATAATATGTGTTTTCAAATATACAGGTGATGACACAGTAGAGCATTGCACTAACCATTTCCGCAGACTTCCATACAAATGTCTGCATGGGATTATGAAAGTTAAACAATGCACACTACATCCACAGAGGTGTTACAATACAGTTTGTGATGTCACATGACGTACTAGTGAAAGGCGCATTCAATAATGCTTGCAAAAATGACCTGTGTGATTTGAGATGTCTAGTAAAACACTGGAGTAACAATTTCCACAAACTTATACACGAATGTCTGCATGGCAGGAACACTTCAACGGTGTATGTAAACTGCAGATAAGTTGTTGCCACGTTGTGCGTATGCCTAGAGGACAGTATGGTCAAGTGTCGTTTGGAAAAAAACTGATATTTCCAAAGTGACAGGAAGTTGCATTGTAAAAGTTAGCTACCGTTTCCACTAGCTATACAAGTGCCCTGTGGCATAAACGTAGCAGTACAGTTTATATATCCACACATTACCACAAAACCTTGGTCGTACGTTACATAACAGATAAGAGACAGGCATGTTCATCATTGCTTGGAGGAGTAACTAGACTCTTTGAACAAGTATTCAATGGACACTTTGTACTTACAATTTGCACAAGTGATGGTAATTCCTTCATGGCGTAAATGAAATGAAACATTACCTTGTGTAAAGAGATGTTCCTAAGGTGCCTCTCGTTCATTTGTCGTTCGAGCTTATAAGAAGCTAAATTGGGCATTGTGTGTATATGAGTGTTTTGAAGAGGATGCAATGAGTACATGAAAACATTGCACGAAAAATTTTCATATTGTACATGACTGCATCCATGGCAGAAGATGGAAAGGTACAGGTTATTTCTATCGCGCTCATCTATGTGACTTGCTGTCATGTTACATTGTAAACTACAGAAGGATACCTTAAGAGTTGTCCCGTGCCGGAAGCATGTTCTAAAAGGATGAAAAATACAGCAATCACATACCAAAACAGGTTGTGCTTTGGTCCTTATACTTGCGCTTACTTGAATGGCATGGTACACGTGGGGTAGTGGTGTGAACCTAGGCAGCACAAAATTTTTTAAGGAATGTAAATTTAGTCAGGATGTTGTCAACAAGTTGACAATGGCAGCATTAAGGAACTCGGACAGTATGGCTCTTGGTACTTCAGTTTCTCAAGCACGTACGACGTGCAAGATGGAAAGATTTTGACAAGGCTATTGAAGGTGCGCAGGCAGCTAGATAGAATAAAAATGCGTTCTCCAAGGAGCTCTCCTGGCACGCACGCCACATTGGCTGCAAGGGCGCTTTCTACACTGCTTTTTTTTAAGGAAGGTTGGCCACAGCAGCTCTCATTCCTACACTTTTACTTCCACATTTATTGTCGATTTGCACGCTTCAAGCCAATGTCTCTTTCCTTACTTGTATGTGCATCCTTGCGGAGAAGAACACGGAAAGAATAGCCTCCAATACATTATGACAGTGTGGAAACAAGGTATTACACGATATCGCACTTTTAACAGCAATTTTGGTGGCTGATACAGGAACATGGTTATGGATATGCTGCTCTTTATTTATTTGAAAGTGAGACTCCGCTACATTTAGAACTTCTACAACTGCTTCAGAAGCTACACACAACGCTAACTTTTCTTTGTACGATTTCAGCTGTGTGAGTCGCGGAACGTCTTTGTTCCCTGTCATGGCACTTACACAAGCATCACAGTTTTTTACTAACTTCTTAGCACTGTGAACAACATACCCTGCGAAGTACAAAAATGACTCGTGCTCTAAGATATTCATGTCATGAATGTCAGCAGGAATTAAAACTGTTTCTCTGGTGCTGTCTTCATTGTCTGAGCTCAAACCAGCAAGTAAAAAGCCACCGTCCTTAGTGTAGATGCCATCGGCACTAGTGTGTAGAAATTGTGCTAACGTTGCGGAACGCAGCGCGCACTTAAATTCATATAACCTGGAAATCCGATGCCTAGCTCTAAGAGTAGCGAAGAAATTTTCCAGCGCATCTTGACAAAATCTGCTAAGGAACAGAAAGCGGAATTTGCAAAATGATAGGAAATACTCCTGCAGCTCAAGTACAGAGAGCGTACTGAGAATAGCCCCCCCTGTCTGCACAGGCTTACATGGGGCATTTTTGACGGTGCCGATAGAGCGCCCTTCAAAAAGTACAACAAAATTCTTGAGAAAGCCAATACTTGCCTGCCTCTCTGTCTCAATAACTTTACTCAAGGCAAGTTTGGTTGTTCGTGATATCATGATGCGGAACCACTTGGCCACAGTTTCAATAAACCAAGCAGTGGCAAGCGCAGACTTCTCTAGCAAGCCCGTCTCAACAAGGATGCGCAGTGCAGCCCCAGTATCCACATTGAAAAGACTGTAAGCAGGGCCCACCTTCATTTTTTCGTAATGACCAGGGTCAACACAAGTTTGTTTTAGGTGCGGAGCCAATTTGAAGTCTCCTTTACTGTCAATTTCAATGAGTTTTTTTATTGGTTCAATCAGAACCGCATTTGTGGAGAGACCAGCTTTTACAACAATGTCATCAGGAAGATACAAAGTTTGGCCCCTGGTGAGGTGATTGCGCAGATTTTTCAACAGGTGAGGGGCATCTGCTATAAACCATAGCTTCCGATTCGAATCGCAGGGGTGTGTAGCACTGCAATTTGGCCGACTGTGCTTGCCGACTCTGACAAGAAATAACCTTCATAGAGCCTGATTGCCACCACCCATATCTGAAACAACAGCATCTATTTTAAGACCAATGTCTTCACATGCTCTTATCATTTTCAAGAGTTCTTGCTTGACAGTGAGTGCATGAAAACAATTTCCAGTCAAATGGTACCCAATGACCTGCTTTCATCTGGTAGTAACACCACCCAGCATAAATACGAGGCCATGGGTAGCCAAGGTGTCTGCAGGAAGGCTGCCATCTGCCAAGGGAATCGTAGGTCTGCCCAGTACTGCGTCAGCCGAAGGATCATATATGAGGCCTGGGGTGATCTGCATCTCATCCATTATGAGGCACGCATGGCGCTCGTACTCTGTCATGCAGTTGACCTGCGCATGATTGGAAGATACGAATAACTAACATGAAAGGTTAGGCAGGAAATAAAAGAAGTGTTAGTGTTTAAGTACATTACGTCGCACAAGTAGGCTGAAATAAGGTGGCATAACGTAAACAGGCCCCACAGTCAAAGGTAATCATTCCGTTAACGTTAAGGTCACCTCCATAGAAGCACTTCCCAACCAAGCATCCATTTGAATGAGGTCGACCAATGTAATGAAATAACTGTTTATCATGACACAAACACACGAGCCGTCGAAAGATACCACTGAGAGCTTGCAATGCGCAAAAGCGTCGTCAGGAATATGCATATTCAGTCAATCAGTGATGATTCGTGGTTTTGGCGCAGCGCACCGATTCGGTACGCTTGCCACAATCAGAACGTACAATGAACACTTTCGTTATTTTATATTACAACACACTTTATCTGTCCAATATCTCGCGCTACCTTACACTATAAACTATAAGCTTTCTATCACAAAACTCTCTTGCATCCTGTCATGATCAGGCAACTATCAAATGGATGTTTGATGGCTTAGATTGTATTGTAGTGTCGTGCAAGGCCTAGGTTGTTATTAGATGGGTTACAGCTAAAATGACAACTCCATGCTATCTAACTTCCATTCAGGCAACCATGAAGTGCTAACCATTTTTCGGGAACACCGTGATTGTATTATGAGGCATGCCAGCATAAGTACAGAAAATACTAACAAAAATTTAAAATATCGGAACTTCCATAGTGTTGCAAAATGGACAAATTCGTTACGATTACCTTAACAGCGAGAGAGTCCATAATGTCCACCAGCAGCCCTGGACGAAACTTGCAGTGCTCGATGTGACGTTGAAGTGTACGCTGTGAAGGCAATGGCTGGCCGAGCTCGTTGACCATATCATAGCCCCTCGAGCCGCAGGATAGGCGAATCTTCAGTGCTTTGGTCAATGTTTCCTTGGACCACACTGTGCCTCTTGGTGAACGATGCAAGCTGGTGAACTGGTCTTCATTCATGTACGAAGACTGGTGCAGCATAAGTTTCTTGTGCTCCCGCTCTTTCACCCTCGCCTTAGCCTTCGCAATAGTCAGCTGTCGTTCCAGAGCGTTTATTCTGGCCAACAGAGCTGCATGTGAGGCTGTACCTGCAAGTAAAGAATGTATACTTAAATAAAAGCAATGACATCTGGGTTATTCTACGTGAAACGTCCAAGTCATTTCAGCTACCATCCCAAATATATTTAAAAAATAGTACAGATCTGTTGAACTGAAAACAGTCTGCTGCTAGATTCTCTTGGAGAAAATCTCTTTTTTTTATCGCGTGGGAATCCTTCCGAATTTTGGAGAGTATCGTCGGAGTGTTGTTTACGAAAATAATTTATGGCGAGAGTATTGCATCTCGTTGCAATACCAAATCTAGTCTACATATTAAGGAAAGGCGTTTGTGTAAAGCAGGGGTCTTAAACTCACCTCAGCCAGCGAGTTGAAAACACTACATTGAGTACTGCAAGGGCAGGCGCAGTGTGAACTAGTGGGCGGGGGGATCGGTGGGTGCGTTTGAACAATATGACAGCTATAGTTGCCTTGTGAAAGAGTGGTTTCCCCACATCACATATGTGTCTAATTTACGAAGGATATTTAGAGTCAGGGTTCGAGAAATAACGATACCTATCTTCAGAATGACTGAAATCGACGCCGATTCTTGAGTGGAGAGTTTTCGTTTCACGACCATGTTTCAACGTGTGATGGCCTAATGGACTGCGTCACGAAAAGAATGCTTGAGGCCGGCCATGTCTGTGTAGCTCATGAACACACTTATTAAGAAAATGAAAAAAAAAAAAAAAGAAATACGGGACAAAGACAGTCCTCTGCAGGCTGCAGTCAGCATGTTTCAGACCCCTGGGGCAAGTTTGCAGCTTAACAATACATATTATTGCTTTTTTAACACGAAAGAGTTATATACCGGGGTCCACCAAGCCAAGTTCAAGCAAAAGTTCAACATCGCTGCAGCGAAATTCAAGCACCCTTAGAGCAAATGCTGTGTCTTTATACAGCAATAAATAAGCATGGCGCCGATCAGCTTAGCTGTGTATCGAACATTGCGTAGATTAGTGCAAGCTTCGAGCCATTTTTTTAAAAAAGCTCTTCCATTCAGTTCCACGCCGTCATGGAATTCGTGAAGCGTGTATACATCTGTAGCTTCATATGGACAGTGATAGCTAAAAACAATCACGGGAATGAATAAATTTTATTTTCGCAACAAAACGTAAACAAGTTCCCTGCGCATAAACTGCAGCGTTACGAGTTTCAAGTAATTGGAAGCTTCAAAATACCTGACACTTCACCTAAGCACATGCAGTGTGAATGCGCTTTCTTAAATAGCACTGCAAGTGCATCACATGGTATCATAAATGCGAGTAAGTTGCATAACTTAGGTCTGCTTCAAAAGACAACGGTGCGTCAGCTTAGCTGTACAGTGAAATTACAATAAAGTACTAGCAGCCGATACAGTTTAAGCAGGTCTACCTTTTTCAGTATTCTTCGTTTACAACCATTATGTGTGTAGCAACGAACTTCAAGTGGCCCAGCTGTGCATGCGCACAATCGCTGCAGTCTTTTTTCTTTTTCGTTGTGCAACTACACAAGCCAATTTCATGGTCATGAGGAGATACTTCCACTAAGATGATGCATTTACGAACATACAAAATAAAGTTGTAATAAAAAAACTTAAAACCATGTAGTGCGAGTACACAACTCTTTTTTTATGCAGCAAATTCAGTTGGTTTCTATTGCCCCTTAGTAAAATTGTGCAATAGTGGGACTAAACTTCAAAAATTGTTTTCTCCACTAAAAGAACAATTACTTCGATTAAACTTGTTGTAATTTTCATTCGTATGCGCTTTTCCGGTGATTGTTTCTTGGACCACCTTATAGGGTGCTACAGGTGTCTCATCTTGGGCTGAAGTGGCGTTTTTGCCAACTTTAGGATTTTATTTTAGAGCGTAGATGCCACGCACAGGGACAACAAAAATATGAGGAAACATTAGGTCTTATGAAGAGTTTGAATAAGTAATTTATACATATTACTGGCAATCGTTTTTTGCAGAAAAGTTTCCAAAAACGCTACAATTTACTCAACTTTGCCTACGCGCCAGAAAATGATTAATTTAAAGCTACCATAAGAAACTGTCGTATATTGAAAGCACTATGCTCAAAAAACGCATAAAAGCAAGTGTTGAAAGAATGCTCGACATGGTCGACTTATAGGAAATTTTTTTTCGTGCCAGCTTTCCCACCATTTCGCGAATTTCGAATGGTGGTCACGTGCGCAAAAAAAATTTGCCGCTCAAAATATTTTTGGAAAAATGCTGTAGAAGTAATGTCTATATTTGTTTAATTTTCTCAGATTTTTCAATAGAAACTGATTTTTGACGAGGGCCACGATTTGGACAGTCGGCGTAGGATGACCCTTGTAATAGTTCATTGTTTAAAAAAAGGCAAAGTTCACGCAATCAACATGCGCCATTTTACCCGATATGTTGCACGCAGAACTCCTTTGCACAATGTCCAGTGTACCTCGGCCCCCGCAGGGGCGCCTGCGCAAGTAGGCATTTGGTGTGTAGCGACACCGCGGACCCGAGCTAACGGGGGAGTTTCTACTCCCTCCCACGCCTAGCCGTGCGTGGCTTTGCCGTGCCCGGGGAAAAGGGGATCCTGGGGGTTGAGCTGACGCTGGGTGATTGGACCTTTAAGGCCCCCCGGCAGAGGCAACACACCCCTTTGGCCCCGGCTTCACGTAGACTGACCCACCCAGGGGAAATCGGCAGTCGCCTTTTGCTATCTCTCTCTCCCTACATCTTCGTCTTTCTTACTTTTTTAGCTTTCCTGTCTACTTCTCTCTTCTGTTTACTTCCAATTTTCCTGGCGGCAAGGGTTAACCCTGTGCAAATAGCCTACCTTGGTCTAGGCGCATTGGGTTATGGCAGTGTGGTACGGCTGACGTCTGCAAGCTTTCAGCACCTGCAAACTTGCAGCGTCCCCTTGTTGGGCTCCGTGGTGGGTGGCCGCCATCGCTGCTGAACAAAAATAAGACCGGCATGCATGGAGCATTCCCTCAACTGTCTGATCGTACCGGCCTAAAGCGGGTACGCACCGACGACATAAATTTCTTCAACCAGCCAATAGAAACTTTTCCCCACTTCCACGTCATTCACTGTGAAAAAACCGGAAAGCAAGCCAGGACCGTATCTCCTTTCGTAGTTGCCAGGTGTCTTACTGAAACTCTCGGGGCTGGATACAAAGTAACAAAAATGGCTAGCGGAGACCTTCTTCTCGAAATTCGGGACAAAGCACAATTTGCAAAGCTAGACAGCCTCTCAACGTTTGGTGACGTACCGATCACCGTAACACCACACAGATCCATGAACATCCCTTGCGGAGTGGTATCTGATGCAGACTTACTTGAACTCACCGAAACTGAACTTTTGGAAGGGTGGAAGAGCCAAAATGTCAATAATGTACAGAGAATTATCATCAGAAGAGATAATAAGGAAAAACCAACGAAACACTTGATACTCACGTTTGCATCCAGTAAACTACCAGATTCCATTCAAACAGGGTACACAAAGACATCTATCAGGCCGTATATACCAAACCCTCGTCGTTGCTTCCAATGCCAGAGGTATGGCCATGGCTCTAAAACCTGTTGTGGTTGCCAGACTTGTGCACAATGTGGAGTCCTAGGCCACGTGTCTGAGAACTGCAAACAACCGCCACACTGTGTAAACTGCGAAGGAAACCATGCCGCATATTCAGGCTCCTGCACATACTGGAAAAAAGAAAAAGAAATAATTACATTGAAGGTAAAGGAGAACATTACGTTTAAGGAAGCACGGCGAAGAGTCGCTCCATTCTATGGACCTACATACGCTGATGCGGCGCGTCAGGGGGCACCGCCGCACCAGCCCTCGCCACCCCTTCGGCCCGCGCATACCGAGCCGGCGGTTGTGGCACCTGCCCCCAAGGCGGCTGTAGCCCAAGCTACACCGCCTACTCCCAAACAGAGACCGGAGACTCCAGAGTCTTCGGGTCTCAAGGCCTCCCCTCACCAGGGGAGGCCCAAAATCCGAACTAACAGCCCGCACGTGCGGGCATCCAGTGCCTCTGAGGAGGCAATGGATACGTCGGCACCCTTGGTGCTGAAAGAGCGGCGTGGCTCCTTGGAGCGCGCCAAGAAAACAAAAAAGCAAATAACAGGGCCTGGTGACGGCCCTGTTAAGTGAACTCAAACTCCCCGTCTAAACAGCCACTCGCTTTTCGTACACACAGCATTATTTTACATTCACCATGAACACTCAAATTATACAATGGAACGTCAGGGGCCTTCTCAGAAGCCTTGACGACGTCCAAGAACTCTTACACGAACACTCACCAAAAGTGCTGTGTGTACAAGAAACACACCTTAATTCAAAACACACAAATTTTCTTCGTAAATACGTTATTTTTCGAAAGGACCGTGATGATGCCATGACATCATCCGGAGGTGTTGCCATCAAAATGAATCAAGGAATTGCATGCACACACTTACAACTCCAAACATCCCTTGAGGCAGTGGCTGTTCGAGCGTTTCTTTTAATTAAACTGATTACAATCTGCACTATTTACATTCCTCCTAGCTATCAGCTGCAAAAACTTGATTTACACTCTTTAATTGATGAACTTCCGGAACCTTATGTTCTCCTTGGAGACTTTAATGCGCATAGCAGGCTATGGGGTGACTCTCAGTATGACGCGCGAGGTCGACTGATCGAACAGTTCCTTCTCTCGTCGAGCGCGTGTCTCCTAAATCGAAAAGAACCAACCTATTATAATCTCGCCAATAACACCTACTCCTCCATAGACCTAAGCATAGTATCTCCATCTCTTGTGCCTCTACTCCAGTGGAAAGTCGTCAGTAATCTGTACGGAAGTGACCACTTCCTCATAGTTTTGAGCAGAAATACAGTAACTGAGTGTCCACCACGTGTTTCGAAGTGGCTCATAAACAGAGCCGGCTGGGAACACTTTTATACTATCGCTCGTCTATGTTGGAATGACATATGTGCTTTGAACATTGATGTTGCTGTCAACTACTTCACAGCGTTTTTGATTGATGTTGCAACAAAATGCATCCCACAAACAAATGGACACCCTGGAAAACGGCGTGTGCCATGGTGGAACTCTGAATGCCGAAATGCGCGCAAACAGCAAAACAGAGCTTGGAGGCTGCTTCGGAACTCACTGACAGTCGAAAATCTTGACACCTTCAAGAAAATAAAGTCTCAAACTAGGAGAACGCGTCGGCAGGCCAGAAGAGAAAGCTGGCAGAAGTTTTTGTCAGGGATCAATTCATACTCACAGGAGGCTAAAGTCTGGAACATGGTCGGTAGGATAGCAGGGAAACAAGTACACACACTTCCACTCGTAAACACTCAAGGTGATACCTTGGAAGATCAGGCAAACTTCCTCGGGGCACATTTTGAACGGGTATCCAGCTCGTCCCACTATACTGACACTTTCCAAAAATACAGAACAAGAATAGAAAAGCAGAAACTCGAACACAAATCCACTAGATACGAGGCATATAACCAAGCTTTCAGTCTAGCGGAGCTCCGAATATCCCTAAACTCCTGCAGTACTTCTGCCCCAGGTTCTGACCGTGTGGTGTATGAAATGTTCAAAAACCTACCAGCCGAAACACGAAAAACCCTACTTTGTTTGTACAATACTATCTGGTTTTCTGGCACTATCCCTACCTCCTGGAAAGAGGCTATTATTATTCCCATTTTGAAAGAGGGCAAGGACCCTTCTTTAGCTTCAAGTTATAGGCCTATTGCACTTACAAGATGCTTGTGCAAAGTATTCGAAAAAATGATAAACTGCCGACTTGTACATATTCTTGAAACAAACAATTTGCTCGACCCATTTCAGTGCGGGTTTCAAGAAAGTAGATCCACCACAGACCACCTTGTTCGTATCGAGGCACAGATCAGAGACGCCTTCGTCCATAAACGATATTTTCTCTCTGTGTTCCTCGATATCGAAAAGGCGTATGATACAACATGGCGTTTCGGAATTCTAAGAGACCTGTCCCACCTTGGTGTGCGCGGAAGAATGTTTCTTATAATCGAAAGTTACCTGTCAAACCGGACATTCCGTGTCCGTCTGGGCAGTGTGCTCTCCCAAACATTTGTCCAGGAAACAGGCGTGCCACAAGGTGGCGTGCTTAGTTGCACACTTTTTATTATCAAAATGAATTCTTTGCACTTGTCCATTCCCCGCAATATGTTCTATTGTACATATGTCGACGACGTTCAGCTTGGCTTCAAGTCATGCAACTTGGCCATGTGTGAGCGGCAGGTTCAGCTGGGTTTAAATAAGGTCTCCAAATGGGCAGATGAAAACGGATTTCGACTTAACCCACAAAAAAGCATGTGTGTCTTGTTCTCTCGAAAGAGAGGCATGCACTCGGAACCTCACATTCGTCTGAACGGGCAACGTCTGTCCGTCAAAGCCGAGCATAATTTCTTAGGCTTAATCTTGGACAACAAGTTAACCTTCGTACCGTACATCAAGTATTTAAAAACAAAATGTTTAAAAGCCATGAATGTTATAAAAGTGTTGTCACGTACTACGTGGGGTAGTGATAGGCAATGCCTCATGAACCTCTATAGAAGCCTCATTCGCACCCGCTTAGATTATGGGGCCGTTGTCTATCAGTCTGCTACTCAAAGTGCCTTGAAGATGCTGGACCCTGTGCACCATTTGGGCATCCGCCTTTCTACGGGAGCTTTTGGCACCAGCCCCGTAGAAAGCCTTTATGTTGAGTCAAATGAGTGGTTGCTTCATCTGCAGAGAACTTACATGTCCTTTGTTTATTTTCTTAAGGTGAAAGCAGACAAGAAGCACCCCTCATACTCTACAATTAATGATTTGTCCAGCTCAACTCTGTTTCAAATCAGGCCATCGATGAGGCAGCCCTTCTCAGTTCGCCTGAAGTGTCTAGCTGAAGAAACTGCAGTGTCACTTGAACACAGTTTAATGGCTCCTGTAGGATACCCGCCACCGTGGCAGTGGCAGACTATAGACTGCAATGTGTCTTTCCTAGAAATTACAAAACATGCACCTATTGCCCATATCCGAACATACTTTTTGGAACTTCAACACAAATACACACGTCCTGACAAAACATGCACCTATTGCCCATATCCGAACATACTTTTTGGAACTTCAACACAAATACACACGTCCTGAGTTCTTCACAGATGCCTCCAAGACTAACTCCTCTGTGTCCTACGCTGCTGTCGGCCCATCCTTTTCGGATGCTGGCCCTCTACATCCACGCACAAGTATCTTCACAGCGGAAGCTTACGCGATACTTGTGGCAGCTAAACACATCAAACAATTACAAATACAAAAAGCAGCAATTTATACAGACTCCCTCAGTGTGGTAACGGCTCTGCACAGTCTTAAAAAACAAAAAAACCCGGTCCTTGTCTCACTTTACTCCGTTTCGTGCACACTCTACACACTCAAACAACATGTTGTAGTGTGCTGGGTGCCAAGGCACCGTGAGATCCAAGGCAACGTGAGGGCGGATCAGCTCGCTGCATCCGTCCATGAGAGCACCGCCATTACATCCATACCAATCCCGGCCCTTGATCTTAGGCCGTCTCTCAAACGAAACCTCAGGAACTACTGGCAGAGCAAGTGGGATACACACACACAAAACAAACTACATGTTATCAAGCCACACCTTGGCCATTGGCCACCAGTATCAAAATCACATCTAACAGAGGTAACACTAACAAGACTCAGGATAGGACACACATACACGACACACACACATCTTTTGTCCGGTGGTGATCCACCATTGTGTGATAAATGTGGTGAGGCATTAACAGTTCTTCACATTTTAATTCAATGTAAACAGTTAGGCACTCTAAGAAGACAACACATTCCATTATTCTACCGACGACGTATACCTCTACACCCTGCAATGTTCGTTGGCAGGGAACCGCTTTTTAGTAATAAATAATTGTTAGCGTTTTTAAAAGAAATTCATAATTTTCATATCATATACCCGGGCATTCCGTAGCACAACCTCTCCAGAGAAGTTTTTTCTGCGGTGGCTACACAGGAAAGCACTTGCCTCACGGCCCTTGGACGCAAGGGTACTAACGTGTGAGGTACTTGTGCTAATGCCATACATGTCCACCATCGTTTTTCATTATCACCAACTTTTGTCACCTATTCGCTCCACACACACCTTTCACGGCATGGTCATGATTTTATTACTTGTATGTTTTTACCCGCCTTACTGCGAGGAATTTTATGGCCCTTATACAGCCGCTAATCACAATCATTGTCCACATTCCTTGTCCCATGAACTGGCGCTCTTTGGCCATGAAATGGCCCTTGCGCCAAAAAACACAATATATCATCATCATCATCATCAGTGTACCTCGGCGAACCACTTCGGCTTCACTCGAAATGTGAGGCACATTCTCTGGAGACGTTTCTTCAAAATGGAAGAAAGACAGCTCTGTTAATATACTGCATTACTTCCACGTCTGTAACATGAGCGGACACTTCCACTGACATGAAGCATCTGCGAACTTAACCTTTAAATGCCGCACTATGAAGCAGTAGGAAAAAAACTAAAATTTATGTTGATAATTTGCATTGGCCTTCTAAATTAACTATGATCAAAAATACAGCCACATTCACAGTGACTAAGCATGTTTTTTCGCATGTTCCATTTTTGGAACATTGGCATTTCCCATATGCAAAACACACATTTTCTCTGGAACAACTTTTATTGACTTTTCAGTTGGGTTTCTTTATTCAGGATAACTGAAGAATAATATTTAGTGTCATACGATGTCTCTGAAAAGTATAAATATTTATAACAACACTTTCTGAAAATTTCTTCTTTCATACTAGTGGCTGTACTACAGTGAGCAAATCACAAACCGTGGTAAGCGGCAAAGACTTTCTTGTGCAGCCGCTTTTTGCACTGCTGGCACTGATTCGTTGTATTCTTCTTGCATTCCGCGCACCTTCCCTGAGTCGTTGAGATGATGTAGTGGCCACCAGTTTTTCTGTCCTCATGTCTAGGATGAACCCGGGGTCCAGGTCTTACAGTGAGTTTCTGCTTGAGCTGCAGCAAGGACATGGTGACGTCCCGCCGAAAGGCGATGTGCGTCATGGCGGCATCACTACCCTTGTGAAGCTCGCAGTGGAGGAGCCATCCTGCGACGACAGCAATGTTCAAACCATTGCTGGAAAGGTTCCACCGCCATTTCTTGCTCCTCAGTCTCGGTCGATAGCTTTCGAGGAGGCGGTCCATCACATCTACTCCGCCCCTGGCCTCATTGTATTTTCTAATCAATTATGGTTGAAGAATGTCCACCTTTTTGTTTATTGTTGTGAGGAGCGTTTCGCACTTCCAACAGGCTCGTGGCTGAGGTGGTTAGAAGAAACTGTGACGACTGCATTGTCATTCCACCTGCATGCGCAGACTGCCCCGTCACACTTGTAGTGGGAAGATCCTCTTTCTTCTTTTTCGATATTTTTCAAGCTCTTCAGTGGACAACCAACGATTCTTGTATCTCGCACAGTCCCTGTCGCTCGAATTCCCTTGTCAGCCAGTTTCGTCAAGAGGCCGTGCAAAGTGAAGAAGTTGTCAAAGTAGACTTCGTGATGTTCAGGCGCTTTCAGGACCGATACCATATTGCTAACAACCCTGGTCCCAAGAGGTGTCTTGTCGTCCTTCTCGTTCTTCTCACAATATATTTCCATCGCATAGGGGTACCCCTTCGAAGAGCACATCATCCATATTTTGTACCCAAATCGAAATGGTTTACCGCGAATGAACATTTTGCACGAGTGGTGGCCATAATAGGGCACCATTGACTCGTCGATGCTGAGCCTTTCTTTGAACACTCCAAACTGGGGGAAAAATTTGGAGATTTCGTAGTAAAACGGCTGAAGTTTGCCCATTTTTTCGCCTGCTTTCAACTGAGTGTTGTCAACAACATGAAAGAACCTTTTCAGCTGCCGGAACCTATTGCGGGCCATCACTGTCGCGACTATAGGCACACAAAGATCTTCTGCAGTGCTTCAATACGAGTCCTCAGATGGAACGGAGTGGTACGAGCTGAAAAGTAAGATGCCGAAAAACTGACCTATGTCCGCTCCTGTGACGTCCACCTCCTCCCTCTTTTGGAGTGCGTATCTTGCAGTTAGTTCAGCCAGTGAACCAAGATACTGCGGAGAAATAAACTTGCTGAACAGCATAAATGGGCTCATGTTTGCAAGATCAGGAAATGCCTCTAGCAATAACGGAGGACTCTCGCTGGGAAGTGTTTTGTCAAACGTGGCATGGTCACCCCATACTGGTGTATAGGAGTGCTTTGGAGTATTTGTTTTCTGAGCGTTCGTTGAAGCTTTGCGTCCTTTTCCAGCAGTGAATTGCCGCCCCGCTGGTTTCTTTCGTCGTGGCTCAGGACTCGAACATGCAGAAGGCGAATCAACGTCTTCATCCCTGCACTGCATAACTTCAACGTGCCCACAAACATCATCAGGAACAACTTCAGAAAAGTCGTTTTCGTTCACGTGCTCCTCGTCAGTAATATTGCCATCTTCAACAGGCGGCAATTGGCATACAGACACACCTTCGTGTTCGTCATCGGGAAGGCTGAACAAAAGGTCAATTGCTGCCTCCAAAGTCAGGAAGCGTTGTGCCATGACCTACAACGAAAGTTATTGCGGTGTAAAGCACAGTACTACAAAAATAAAACCAGCCGCAAGGTATTTTTCTACTTACATTCACAGGGATTGATGCAGCTAGGCACTGTAGTTCAATGCTGCTCTTTCCACGTGTCTGGCAAACTCAAAATGATGCCCGGGAAAGCTTATGTTCAAGTTTCTGCCAAGCGCCGCCCAGCGGGCGCCATCGACAAGGCAAAAAAAGAAAAAGAACAAGGCGAAACGCTCGCGCTCGTCTACGCTGCGTTTGACACTGTGAAACGCCAATGTTCTAAAAAAGGAACATCCGCACAAAGCTCTCAAGCTGAAAACTAGATTGTCTTTGTTATTTTTTTTTATTGTATTGCCGCGTAATCCCGAACTATTTGCCGATATTTTAGTTCTGCTTTGCTCACTGCAACATTACTTTTTCCTGCGGAATAATGCAACAGACATCTGGTAGTCAAAGAGCGCAAAATATGCCTCTTTTTAAAAATTTATCTAATGGTTCTCCGTAGGTTCATAATAGAAATTAAAACTGCTGCGTTTTTCACAAGCATCAATGAGTATGCGTAAACTTAAAATTTTAATATGCGATATATTGGAGAGGAAATAAAAATTAGGTTTCGTATGTTCCAATTTTGGAACACTGGCAAGTAAAAGGTTAAAATCCAACCCTGATAATACAGGGCATCTATTTCACTAACAAGAACAGTTCATTGTTCAAAAAAGCAAAGTGTATGCAATCAACATCATAGCTAGGCATACTCACTCATGAGTGCACTCACTCACACTCATTTGAAATGCGTGAGTTTTAAGTATGAGTGAATATTCATGAATGTGAGCAGGCGTGAATCTCAACGCGAGTGAGAAGAGGTGTGTGCGAGTAGGTGTATGAACGTGAGAGAGTACCAATGAGCTAGAAGTAATGTGTGAGCGTGAGTGAGTACGAATAACTGCGAGTACACGTGAATATGACCGTGAGTAAGGGCCTATGAGGGCGAGTAAACGTGAGAACCAATTTGAGTGAGTTCCTGCGAGCCTGAGAGAGTGAGCTGATGTATGAACGCGAGTTTGAGTTCGAGCGTCTTGAATCGGGCTGTTTGGTACATACTGATCTTGAATGAAGAAACAGCGCTATAACAGGACGAGACGAGAGGACACAAACACGCCGCTGTGTTTGTGTCCTCTCGTCTCGTCCTCTTCTAGCGCTGTTTCTTCATTCAAAATTAGTTTAAGCTGATGTGAGTGTGTGTGAGTTGATGCAAGTATGAACGTGAGCGAGTACCTGTGAGTGTGAGTTGCATCAACTATGAACGTGAGTGAGCACCTGTGAGAAAGTTGACGCGAGTATGAACGTGAGCACCTGTGAGTTTGAATACATGTGAGTATGAACGTGAGTGAGCACTTGTGAGCGAGAGTTGATTTCTGTATGAACATAAGTACTACATATGGGTGTGAGTTGATGTATGAACATAAGTGACTACCCGTTAGTGTTACTTGATGTGAGTATGAATGTGAGTGAGAACATATGGGCGCGAGTACACGTGTGAGTATGAAAGTGAGTGAGTAGCTAGAAGTGTGAGTGTACGTGGATGTGAACGCGAGTACGTGTGGGTGAGTACACGTGAATATGAACGTCAGTGGGTATCTTGGAGTAGGATTATGTGAGTATGAACGTGAGCGAATAGCTTTGAGTGAGAGTACATGTGAGTATGAACGTGAGTGAGTATTATGGATGCGAGTACACATGAGTGTGAGCATAAGTGAGTGCGATGCCTGAAAAAAATTGGGTGAGTGAGGATTCTCTTGTAATGCCCACCTATGATCAACGTAATGAACAAGTAGACCGGGCTAGTTGGTACAAATTCATCTTCGTAAGAAGTGCAAAGCTACACGCAAGAACAGCAAGGAAGAAAGACACTACACAAGCGCTTAACTGCAACTAAGCTTTTATTTGAATAAGCGAACATATATAAAGGTAAAAGAATGACAACAAAACAAACGAAGAGGCCTACGTGTCATGCCAGTCATCACTCATCCATTCATGCCTAAGACACCATCCAAAAAACAAAGTTCTTTTTGTGTAAGCGAGATAGACGGTGCGCTCACACAATATGATTCATCCCGCTTCATATCTGCAGATTCAACGACCCATCTCGTTAACTATCAGTCTTGTTAACATATCCCTGTCGCGTTACAAAATGAAAGTGTTATCAAAGTACGGTGCGCAACCACAATCATTGCTGTGGATAGCCAGGTGGCCATCCGTGCATTTCTGCACCTTATTACCATGTTCTTTTGCCCGCTCATTAATACACCTTTCAGTTTCTCCAACGTATACGCGGCCACACGACAAGGATATTCTATTCACATGATGTGCACACGGAACTGTCTAAACTGTTTAGTGAAACTTGCCGTGTTCCGAGAGAAAAGAAGCATTGCAAAGTCAACCATTGCAACGACTACGTTACGTGTGCATCGTCTGTTGTGTATAGGATACCCTTGTCATGTGGCCGCGTATGCGTTGGACAAACTGAAAGGTGTATCAACGAGCGGGTAAAAGAACGCCATAATAAGGTGCAGAAATGCGCGGATGGCCACCTGGCTATCCACAGCAATAATTGTGGTTGTTGCGTGCCTTACTTTGATAACACTTGCATTTTGTATCGTGACAGGTATATGTTAACGAGACTGATAGTTGAAGCTGCAGAAATGAAGCAGCATGAATTTCATTGTGTGAGCGCACTGTCTATCTCGCTTACACAGAAAGAACTTCATTTTTTGGATGGCGTGTTAGGCAAGAATGGATGAGTGATGACTGGCATGACATGTGGGCCTCTTTGTTTGTTTTGTATTCGTTCTTTTACCTTTAGGTAGGTTCACCTATCCAAATAAAAGCTTAGCTGCAGTTAAGCGCTTGTGTAGTATCTTTCTTCCTTGCTGTCCCTGTGTGTAGTTCTGCGCTTCCTACGAAGGTATATGATCAACGTACACGTTCTTACCTGTAGAACTCCATTGCACAATGTCCAGAGTGCCTCGGCCAACTACTACTGCTTCACTTGGAAGGTGAGGCGGATTCTCTGAGGACATTTATACAAGACAGAAGCAAGACATTTCAGTTAATAAACTGCATTACCTCCACGTCTCTATCACGAGGGGATACTTCCACTCGCATGAAGCATTTACGGTTATAAAACGCAGTCAGTAAACTGCTTTACTTTCATGTTTCTAACATGAGGAGACACTTGCACTCAGATAACGCATTCATTATCATTAAATACAACCCTGACGATACAGGGCATTCATTCCACTTATCTATAACAGTTCATTGTTGAAAAAAAGTGGAGCACATGCAATTAATATACACGTTTTTACCTGGTATGTTGCATGCAGGACTCCATTGCGCAATGTCCAGAGTACCTAGGCCTTACCTAGGCCAACCCCTTCCGCTTCACTTGAAAGGTGAGGCGGATTCTCTGGGGACATTTCTGCAAGACAGAATCAAGACATTTCAGTTAATAAACTGCGTTACTTCCACGCCTTTAACATGAGGAGATACTTACACTCATTTGACACATTTACGAACATAATATCGAA